ATTCTATTCTATTCTATTCTATTCTATTCTATTCTATTCTATTCTATCATAGAACCACAGGGCTGGGAGAGGCCATTCAGCCTAATCTCATATTTAGTCATTTCATATTCAGTATATGTGGCTTCCATAGAAAATCTGAAAGCTCTTTACCAAATGGTCATTTTATTATGGAATATAAAAGGCTTGTTTCAACCACTGCTTTTTCATTATGGCTCTGACCAGTGCAATTTGAGCAGTGCAATTTAAGCAGATCAGTGAATGATTTTTCAGCTATCTCTTGAGAATGCACAGAAGCTTTGGCAATTTTCAATCCAACTATTATTCCTGCTTAATTCCTATATTTTATCACAGGATGTTGTTGTTTTCACCAACTCAATTTTTCCTTATCAGCAATGCAGCAGGTGTTTTCTAAAAGCACACCTGGGCTAAATCTTAATATATCACGATAATGATTGTTAGGATTTGAAGAACAATTAGCTATATTTATTCCTGTCTTCAGAGAATGCCAGTTTATCAGTTTCTTCAATTATCTTAAATTTTCTTGATCACTGTTTGGCTACATGAAATAATTATCAATTTTTTAAAATCCATCCCAGATCCCCTCCCCATAAGAGTTTTAATGAGGTATTTTAATTGACTGGGTTTTCCCCCCACTAGTATTCTGTATGCGCTGCCTTTTGTTTTCAATGTAAGTATATGTTTAAAATTTGTATTGAACTGTGTATAATCATATTGCATACTACTGTGGAATTTATGTGAACAATCAAGTCTTTTTTGACTCTTAGTGACTACATAAATAGATTTTCTCCATGATGACCTGTCCCTAAATTGATCTTTTGGGTCTTCCAATGATGCATCCATTGCCACTGTAACTGGGTCCATTCACATTCGCTGCTGGTCATCTTCCTCTCATTCCTTTCACTTTTCCCTTCATTAGAGCCTTCGCCAGAGAGCCTGTCTTCGCTTATGTCCAAACTAGGCTAATTTGACCCTTGTCATTTGTGCCTCAAATGAGAACTCTGAGTTGACTTGTTCAGTGATCTATCAATTTGTTTTCATGGCTGTCCACAATATTCTCAAGAGTCTTTTCTAACACCAAAATTCAAAAGTGTTAATTGTCTTTTTATCCTACTTGTCCAACTTTCCCTTCCATACAGCGTTACAGGGAATACTGTAGTTTCACAATTCTGATATTTTTAGGTATAGATGCATCCTAATATTTTAATATCTTTCCCAAGGCTTTTGTGGCTGTTCTATCAAGTGTTAATTTATGACTGGGATGGGATGGAATAGCAGAGCAGGGAAGGGGAGGGGAGGGAAGGGAAGGGAAGGGAAGGGCTGAGCTTTATCTGGCTAAGTATGATTAGACACACAAGGAATTTCTCTCCAATGCAGAAGCTCTCAGTGTATGTGCAAATAATAATTGTAATAATGATACCAATAAGAGGGAGTAGTAGAGGAGATGAGAAGGATAATACTACTACTACAGCCATACAATATGGGTGAAAATACTTAGACATAATGCAGTACTGAAGGACTAGGTATTCAGCAGAGTGACAGCACGAGGGGAAAAACTGTCCATATGTCTAGTTATTTTGACATGTAATGCTCAAGGTGAGGAGTTGAAAGAGTTTATATCCAAGATGTGAGGGGTCTGTAATTATTTTCTCAGCCCCACTTCTGACCCACACAATATACAGGTCTTCTATGGAAGGCAGGTTGGTTGCAATTGTTTTTTCTGCAGTCCTAACTATTGGTTGGAGTCTGTACCTGTCCTGTTTAGTTTCTATACCAAACCAGATAATTATAGAAGTATAAATGACAGTTTCAGTAATTCCTATGTAGAACTGTATCAACAGCTCCTGAGGCAGTCTGAACTTCTTAAGTCGATGCAGGAAGAACATTCTTTGTTGTGCCTTTTTGATAATGACTCTAATGTTGCGTGTCCATTTCAAATCCTGGGAGATTATAGAACCCCAAAACTTGAAGGATTCTGATGCTAATATTGTGCTGTAGGATATAGTAGAATAAAGAAGGGTTCCTCCTAAAATCCACTTTGATCTCTACAGTTTTAAGCATGTTCAGCTCCAGATTGTTCCAGATTTCTTAAATGGTTGTTCCTTTATGCCTGATGATTGGTCCTGAAAGAAAGAAGCAGTCTACTACTTTGATATCTCCACTGTCAGTTCTAAAACTGGTTGTCATACCTGCTGCCACTGATTTAATTTAGTCCCACTTTTCACTGTGCTCCTTCACTTTTATTACTAGAGCTTGCAGATTCTTTGCATTTTGGCTAGCAGGGCAGTGCCATTAACATAGCACAGATTATTGATGTTTCTTCCTCCAATTTTAAAAATGTGCATATTCTATCTGTACTGTGGCTTCCTGGCCTGCATGTAAATTTCTCATGAGGACAATGAGATGTTCTGGGATTCCCATGTTTCTGAGTACAATCCACAGCTTGATGTGATCAACAAAATCCTAAGCATTCCTATAATCAATGAAGCAGATCTTGACTTCTTTTTGGTATTTTTGACTTTTGTAATTATCAGGGTACATCAGCCAACCTCTGCCTTCCCACACTCTCCATCTAGCCTTTTCCTAATCCAGCTGAACAGTAGGTGTCAAAGTAATTTAAAATAGCATGATTTTTTTACATCAAAGAGGTTACAATAGATTTTCCAGAGTTCTAAATATACATATTTCCTCAAATGACACCAGCATAATATTCAGATGAAGTGTTTATTTGTTTCTATGAGAACACTTTATGGATTAAGCTCAACTCTTAAGAAACTTTTTTCCCCTGAGTGGAATTGGCAGTCAGAAGTGCAGCAACTAGCATAAAAAATCTGGCAGACTTATTCCATTGAGCAGCAATAACATCAAAATAACTTTTACAGATCAGACACTGGGAACTACACCAACAGTCTACTTGTAACAAGAATAGTTTTAAGTTGCCTATGCTGATAAAAAGAATAGCCAACAGTGCTCTCCTTTAAAGAAGTAATTTTTAAAGGAATCAAGTGCTTTAAGTCTTTTCTGCCCTTAACCACTTAATTTCAAATTGTCCCAGACTCTCTACAACATGCCTTTTTTACTCACTGTGTAGTAAACACTGGAAGACCAATAATAAATATAAACTAGTCTCTTTCTCTCTCTCTCTCTTTGGCCATTTGCCTAAACCACTCGTCTTCAGCTCATGATTTAAGATCCAGGGAACTAGGGACACCAGAAACCCTATCAAATTTTTCCCTACATCCATTTGTTCTTTAGAAAATGGGGGAAATGACTTGGTGAGCATTGGAAGGCAAAACAATAATATGCAAATAAAATAAAATGAGAATCCTAAATGAGCCTTGATGTTAAAGACCTGAGAACAGTAAAGTTTAGTAATCTAGCAGGCCTGGGTCATTTTTAGTGCTCTGATCAAAGATTAAAGGATATCAATCAAGCCTACTCCAGGGCCAGGATCAAATTAATTAAACTTACTTTTTGTAAGGAAACCATGAACAAAGGATCAAGTCTACTGGAAAATACAATCCATCATAACCTGAATCAAGTGAAGCCCAAAGTAGCTTAGCTGTGATAGAAAAGTTTAGAGCCTAATTTTTTTTAGAGAATTCATATTGAGTTTATCTCTATTCAACAGAAATATGCACAACTATGTAAGCAAGAGTGGCCATGAAAATCAAAGGTAATGCAAGGGCTTGTGGACAATAAACCATAGAGTTATCATGCACAGTACAAATTACTCTAAATTGTAAAGGCATACAAATAATGCACTTGAAGTTTCTCATACTTAAAATCATCAACCAAACTCATGTAATTTATTTTTCTTTATCTCCACCACCCCAATTTGAACGTGAAAGAAAACATCTCATTTACATTTATAAAACTAGCAGATAAAAATAATACTAAGACACTTTTACATTGCAAATGTAATCTCATTATTTGCTGGATTCTGTTCTGACATGAAACAATGTAAACAGCAAATCATGAATGCAAATAGCAAAACCACAAATAATGAGATCTTCAGAAGGTAAGAACTGTGGGGTGAGCTTATGGCTACCCTTTCTCTCCCAGTGCATATGTATTTGCTCTCTTCTCTTCGTTCAACTGTAGCTGTTCTCACTGGTCAATCTGGTTGAAAGGTTACACGTGGCTTCCTTGTACTACCTTGGTCTTTTTCTTTGGCACTTGCTCATCTGGTGGTCGAGGAAATTATCCTGCTTCTACCACATGCAGAAGTTTCCACTCCACATACTGGTAGTTTTTCATGATCTTGGTGAATGGGTCACTCCATTGTAGCCACCAGATGCTAATATTGCCTGCAGATCTTTCACAATGCCTTC